TTGTGTTAGCATGCTAAAAAGGAATGGAAATAATGTTAGTCTCTTAGCATTTAGCTTGCTAATAGTTTGTGCGTTAGCATGCTAAAAAGGAATGGAAATAATGTTAATGGTATAGCATTTAGCTTGCTAATAGTTAATCTGTTAGCATGCTAAATAGGAATGGAAATAATGTTAGTGGTTTAGAGAGCTTTTCGCTTGCTAACGTTGAAAGCTGTACTTTAGATAAATAGGTGTGTAAATAGCAGTGAGGCAGTAGCTTGTAAACAGTTTTTGTGTTAGCATGCTTAACGGATGTGGAAATAGTGTTTATGCATGGTCTAAACAAGTATCAGTTTAAGTGTCCAGTTAAAATGGTATCTAGTGTCTTACCCTTTTTTGTTTACTTTGTTTTTGTAAGTAAGGAAGGAAATATTAATCAGTTTGTGACATATAATCATATAAGCCATGATGGGAAGGTTACTTTTGAAATGTAATAGGTTACACATTACTAGTTACCCTGATAAAGGTGTAATAAGTAATGTAACTATTTAAACCCATTACTGTCCACACTAAGAAAAAAACAATAGAAACAGTTGAGATGTCACCTCATGGTAATTGACCTTTCGCAAAGCCCTGCCCCTTTGTCCGACGAGCTGTCGGAGTAAGCATGGACCCCACACTGTAACTAACTGCACTTTTTGGAAAAATGAAACAGTGATTCCAGAGAGAAGCAGACAGAGGGGCCTACAGACTGTGTTTGAAAGATATATCCAGGATGTCAAACTGACTCAGCAGCAACAATAGGTTAAAAAGACAATGATACATGTAGTTAGAAGCTAAAGCTGAATTAGGCTATAGGCTACAGATCACATTGTAAATGTAAACCACCACATCACTGCTGATCGCCACAGAAGACAATGAATGGAATATTGAATCAGCTTTGTGGCATCACAGTGTGTTCAGATGAACGGTGTTTGGCTTCACCCGGACCTCTGCTGCTGGATGGGCAGGGATCTCCAGGGACAGTCAAACAACGCTTATCTGCGCACGATGCGTGGACACACAGCTGGTTGAATATCAGCAAAGTTTCCCTGTTTCCCTTCACTGGTTCCTGTACAGCAGGGTCGGTCTTTTTTTCACTGTTACAATCATTATAAAGCAAAAGCAGCATGTGTATACATTCAGTAGGCCATATCCTCAGTAGCTAGCTAGCTAACCCTACACTTTTCAGTGTTTGATTTTGGTTTTGGAACAGGGAAGAAACATGTATCTTTTTCCAACCTCTCCAGGTAACGAGTATCATTAATACACAATGTGCCCCAGACACAACAACTAGCTCCAAATCCACAAAACCAGCCTGAAAATGAAGGAAATCTGAAACAATTGCATTAGAGTCAGTGGAGCACATCTTTGTTATTGTCAGACCCTGTCTGAGTGGGCGCAATGCTACGTTATGATTGACCAGTCTGCGTCTGGGGGCTGGACTTAGCAAAGGGTTATTTGTAAAACAGAAACAAAAAAAATCCATATTACAGACCATGTACTGTGCTGCTCGTAATGCTTGTAACATGTTAGTATACCAACAACTGTGTCATCAGGAAACTTGTGCTGGTTCTGGTGTTGAAGTCTAAAGTGGCTATACAGTCGTGTGTACAGGGAGTACAGCAGGGGACTCAAAACACAGCCCTGGGGTGTGCCGCTGATCAAATATTGCAAGTACAATGCTTGTTTACAAACATCTCAAAATGAGTGGCAGCGACTTATGATTTATTGATGCAAAAATGCTTCATCTCACAAAGTGAATTTATTTGAGCCAAGCTTCAGATACCATCAGACCCTGAACTGAACTCTCAGTCCAGATCTGGCTCAGCCCCACAGCAGCTCTCTCCCCAGCAGTGCTCGTGTAATGGGACACTGCTAAACGATGCTGAGAGCACTCCAGTGCAGTCATGGCCTGTTGCACCTGGCTCGCTCCTCGCTGCCGTGCATGCGCTCGCCTGTTGTTAGCTTGTCTTCTACAGGGCTAATTTATGACACTATCAGACTCGCTGCTGGCGACTGGACGTCCTCATGCTAAAACTAATTACTTAAACTAATTACTTGAGCCTATTAACTTTGGTATGCTCTGCAATATTGTGTTCCTTATTCTTGATGTATAATACATAGCAGAGGAGGTTGGGGCACACAGGAACTTCACCCTGCTCCTGCTTGCTAATGTTATCATCCACAGCTGATATACTCAAGCATGTAAATGCAGTCAGAGTAAGTATGATGAAGACTTTTGGCTTTTTTGTGTAATCAAATATGCCTCTCATGCTAAAATAGAAAAACTTATTTGTAAATACTCTTCTGGCTGTCAAAAAGATGTGTGCATCTTTTACTTGCTTCTCTAGTTTAACAGAGTGCAAGCATGGCTGCTTCATTTGGATTTCTTATTTGCAAACTTTGGGAGTGGCTCAGCACTTTACAGCTGTGTGTGTGTGTGTGTGTGTGTGTGTGTGTGTGTGTGTGTTTGTTTACTTGTGTGTGTATCTGTGCATGTTTGTATGTGTCTAAATCTATGCCCTTTACCTGTACCATCCATGTGCCTGTGTTCGCTTTGTTTCCTCTCACCATTATCCTTCGAAGGTCAGTAAATATGATTATTAATAATTGCTATTATTTGCCAAAATTTAAATCTGTAAGGAGCGGCCCGGCTTACCTTGGTGTTTGACAAAGTTATGTTACTATTAGTTGCTAAGCAGTGGTAGACACCTTAGATTTGTTGTTGTCTTTTGCAGGGCAGGGCAATATGGCTAAACATAATATTGACATAAAAATGTTCATATCAGTCTACATTGATAATTATCACGCTAAAAATCAGATGAGTATTTCTTTCAAGTTTAAAGGTTGATTTTTGGCTCCTGAGTGAACTTTGAAGAAACCATACAGTTAATTGGTTTAAACTATTATTTAATGTCAGAACACGACAACATTTGCCAAACAGCAGAGTATCTCACAAATCTAAGATCGATTAAAAACAATTATAATCATAATAATGTTGATAAAAGTAAGTGTGTAAGTGTTTAAGATGATAATGTAATCAGAATAAATAGACAAAGTAAAAATCTCAACTGTGGTCAGTACTGTCTGTACAAGATTTAAAACCACAGTATGTAATTTCTGCCATTTCTCAGTCAAAACAATAACAAAAGACATACTTTGATGGTGTCATGAAGTAATGTGTGGTCATTTATTGCAGAAGAAAATCTATCTGCTGTGATTTAGAAATGCACTCAGGTTTTATTTACATTACCTGTTGTCATGTCATGTTATTCTAATGAACAAGCTGGTTAGTCACTCTTGTAACTTGCTAACTTACCATTAGCATTAGATGAGTCAACTGTACAGTTACTGTAGCTAACATTTTGTAGTGAACTCAATTGTTGAGTAGCCCAGCGCTGTTATCTGTGGTCAAAACAATGATACTAAAAGAACTTTTATGAGCATGTTGGATGTTGTTGTAATGTAATAATGTTACTGTTTGAATTAGTGTCTGATCTTATCTTCTTCTACTACTACTGCTACTTCTCCTTCTTCTTTTAGTTAATGGTGGGTGGAACTGGCGTTTAAGGTGCATTACCACCCCTGTCTATGGGCGTATGGGTGGTTTATTTATATCAAGGATTTATTAAACATTTAGTATATCTGATAAACCTGAATCCTGGACAGATTCCCATTTTATGATGAAAGCTGTGTAGAAAATTGAATTACTGTTTATAAAAACAAGAAATCATTATGGGATTTTTTTGCTTGATGTAGGACCTTTATCTCTTCTTTTCAGTTAGCGACTATTTGCATCGCAGTGTTCTTTTGCAAAACTCATGCACTCCAAGTGAAAGTATTTTTCACTTTGAGCCAGATTATCTTGGCTTGTAGACCAGCAGTCTTCTTGTGCCAAGGTTAAGCTGAAACTTTAACCCACTCATCAGCGTTACAGATTAGTCCACGTCGGTGTCCCCTTTTGCCAAATGGATCTTCTGTTTCCTCAAAGAGCTTCAAGTGGCCAAACCTCTGCTCAGACATCACTCAAATCAGAGAGCACATTTCCACTTAGGCCTTTTTTTAATGTACTTTGTCTTTGACTTTAAATGTATACAATGTGATTTTTTGAGATTCATAATAACTATATTCTTTATTTCTAAAGCCACGGCTAGTGCATCTGTTCAAACAGTGAATGTATGCTCAGTTATACATGTGCAATTATTTGCACGCTTACACAGACTGAGGTTAACGCCACATCCCTTAGCAACTAACTAATAGTGACAATCAGCCGGTGCTTCAGGGTGGACAAGGTTAGATAACTCCACACAAACACAGACACACACAGTCTCCTCTCAGGGGTCATTTCCCTGCAGCCTGTGCTCCTGTTGGAGGTGTCCAATGTGAGTCCTTAGGTTTCGCCCTCCTGTCTCGTGTGTCACAGCATGTTGTCACATATAGAGGCAGTGATGCATTATTGAAGATGTCTGTGGCTTACTTAGACACTGTACATTTGGCTGACATGAGTGCGATTACCTACACATGGATGCACGTGTACAGGCATCTAATTGCTCTGCATAGGTAATGACTGATAATATTGCTGCAGAATGATGTCTGTGTGCCAGTTTTAGCTCGGAGTGATTTATCCACAGTAGCTAAATTAAACTGATTTAAATCATTACAATGATTATAAAAAGTTTAGATGAAATAACTAAGATGGCATCCTTGGGGGCAGTTTCAACAAACAAATAAAGTGACCACTGATAATAAAAGGAGGAGAGGCCCTCTGCAGAACTGTGTGCTTAGGGCCTCTAACCAGCTTTCCTTTTGTGTATGAATGGGCATCTATATGGGGAAAGGCTCACGCTGCAGCAGTGGCTAATTCCTGCTAATCCCACCGTATCTCCTACCACTTAGCGATGGTTTCCAATGGCAGCCCTGGAGCAGGGGAATTGCTAGTGAGATTAGCTCACGTTAGCTCCTCCTCTGTGGTTTACCCTCACAGCCAGGCCAGGCTGGCCCACCACTGCTTCCATGCTAACCTTTTGCACAGAAATGGATTAACTGTTTTTCCAAAAATGTTTTCACGTCTTATTTAGAGAACAATGTAAGTTTGTTTCAATTTATTTTGCTGTTATTATGGCTTTAGTTGTGGTGGATTTGATTTTGATTGCAAAACTATGAGGGCACTGTTATCTTGAAGGGTTTATGAACAGTGTGTTTAGAGGTGTTTGTGTAGGATTTAGCAGTGCTTTCCTTTACATGATAAGATGTTGGCTCTCTCTAACTTTCCTTTGCACGTTTCCATGCGAAGATACAATCCTGTTTAATCTCTGATTGCATTTAATAACATTGTGTTGATAGTACTGCATTGTGATTCTGGACATAGTGTTGTAAATATTACATCAGTGCACAAAGAAAATAAACATGGTGACACTTTGACTGGCTCTATAAGTAGGAAACACAACACTTTAAGAGTTTAGAAGCAAGCAAAGAATCATACTTCCAGAGGTAGGCTATGATTTGCAAAATTCTTAATCCTGTAGTCGTCAGTTATCAGATAGTTTTTTGGGGGAAACAAATCATGTAAAGGTGATTTGCAATCCCAAATTTGCAGCTTTCCAACATAGCTTTAAGAGCTGTCAAAAATGAAAACTTATTGTGCTTTAAATGACAAGTTGTTACCTAAAATTAAAAAGAGCTATAGATTAGTGGAAGCCATGATGCATCAGTGTTTATATTGCTTTTAAATCCCCCAATAATGAAACCGCTTGATGTCACCATGAGTCAGCCCTGCTCCAAAAAAGGCATAATGTCATCCAGCATTTAGTTACAGTGTGATACATGATTGGAAGTAACATCAGTCCTGAAATAAATGCATACCCAGTCTTCTGAGATAACAGTGAATCAAAGGCAGTGCTGAGAGTTGGTTGTCTTTTCTGTTGCACAAGAATACAACACAACACTCTTTGTCAGGGATTTATCACACTTAGAGCTCAAACCAGCCTTTAAAATTTCCTTCAAAAGTCTGTCTCCACTAACTGAGATCCAGCTACTGCAAGTATAAGCCTGCAAAGCAAAGGATGATGAACGCATGTTTACTGCATGCATGTCTGTGTTTGATGGAGCTTCACCTGCTCACAATAACAGCTATTTTCTTCTTTTATTATTTATTTATTGTTGGACACTACAGCTAGGGATAGACCGATATGGATTTTTTAGGGCCGATGCCGATACCGATTTTTTTCCATCACCCATAGCCGATGACCGATTTATGGACTGCCGATTTTCTTGAGCCGATATTTGGGGCTGATACTGCTTTTGCTCCCTCAATTTACATCAAAAAAATGACACAATGATAACAAATATTACAGGTCTCAAGTTTAAAATAAGAAACATTTATTGAACAGTAAAAAATACTAAAACAAGATGGAAAGTTGAGGTAGAACAGGTAGAATATTATTATTGTTGTTATTATTATTATTATTATTATTATTATTATTATTATACATTCAAATAAAAAAGAGTTCAGTGCTCTTAAATCTTCCAGTAATGTCTTTATAAAATAATCAAATATTTAAGCTGAAGCATAAATAAAACAACAACTACTGTACACAGCTGCATGTGCGCTGCAGGGTCTTCTGGCAACACAGAGCTGCCCATGGATGCCTGTCTGTAAATCATGCCAGGGAAAAATAAATCCGCGAACCCACGCGCATATCGGCCGATGCCGATACAAGTAAAAAACTCAAATATCGGCCCGATATATCGGCCGGCCGATGTATCGGTCTATCCTTAACTACAGCATTATGCAGCTCCATGGAAACCCCAAAAATTAACCCCCAGCTATTCAGCTATCACTGGATTATCCTTTAGTTAAACGCTTGGTGTGCCTGCAGTTTAATTCCCAAACAAACCAGCATGACAGCACTTTGAACACTAGACAAGCCACTCATGGTGGTTACACTTCTGTGTTCTGCATTGAGTATTGTATTTAGAATATAAAGATAGTTAACACATGTGTTTTTAAGATTTAAAAAAACACAGATATTGCTGTTTCAGGTGTGGTAACCATTGGTTGGTGGTTAGTAAAGTCTTCTTCAGCTGAGCTTATATGGATTGATAAGCAGTTCAGCTTGTTTTCTACTACCTGCCACCTTTCTCTTTTCTAACAGTGACCCATGTGCTTTTCTTTCTCAGGAGATCTCTCCTGAAGATGTTTCCACAATCAGGGAAATCGATTGTCTTTGACAACTTTCCAGATCCCACTGACGCCTGGGACATCATCGAGACAATCGGGAAAGGGACCTACGGAAAAGTCTACAAGGTGCTCAACAAACTTGATGGAAGTAAAGCTGCTGTAAAGATACTGGACCCCATCCATGTAAGTCAACTTTCTTATCTAGAACATAAATGTGTTTCAGTTGAAATGACTTCTTTTATAGTACTCCTATTGGTCTAAAGTTCACATGTTTCAATGCCATTTTGAATCATGTCCTCACTCCATGTCATGCACGTGTTGCAGTCAGTGCTTGTTAAAGCAGCTATAAGCTTGTGGTGTGTTTACGCCTTTGGTGGAGGCACAGGGCCAACAAGTTACTGTCTTGTGGACCTATATCTGTCACATTTATAGCATCTGTATTTTAGAGATTTAGACACCAACACAGATCAGATCTGGCACCCATTTTTTCTCTTGCTATTTGTTAACTTTATGTTTTGGTTTCAGTTGTTCAGTCATAATATTTCCTATCAGTCATATTATGTACCTTAAATTTCATTCTATTTTGTCTCTATATATTTTATATATATATGATATAAATTATACAATTTACAAACAGCATTTTTTAGTGATATGGGTCTGGCATTTCCAGAACATATGAGTCATGTGTTCTCAGGTGTAGCTTAATGTTGTAATCTTTTTATTTTTCATTACTTGGCTGCCGTTCACAACCCCCACAACAACACATGACAATAATATGTGCTGATCATGTCACAAGAGTTTGTGTTACATTACATTTTCAGCTTTCATATCATACCCAGAGCCCATGTTTACTCAATTAAGTATAAAATCAAAATGACTTGAGAAACTTACCAGTGGTAAACAGTGAAAAGGCTTGATCAAAGGCCCGTCCTTCCAGAAAGGATGCAACCTCTTTACATTGAGTACATTTACATGCGCTAAATATTCAGGTTTTTGCCCTTATTCCGAAAAAGACAGTATTGTTATTTAGCTGTTTACATGGCTCATGATTCCACTAATACTCCCGTCTACATGCAGCTGTGCATACTCCGATTAATGTACCCAAACGTAGCTGGAGCAGCTTGTCATTTTGCTTCTTTGCATCAAAATAGCTTTTTTTCACAGTTTCCTGCTGGTTGCAGACTTGTTGGATCATACGTACACAGCCTCCCTCTTTCATTCCTTCAACCTCCCTCCTGAAAAGTTCGTAGTTGTGATATTTGCACATGTCCAAAAACTTGTTGATATCCAAGTGTTCCAGAACTTTTAAAAGTAAGTGTGTTTCTCCTTACGACCAGAAATGTGGGCTTTGCTATTGAGCATGCATCTCCACCCTTGCAAACTGTTGGTTTGAGTGAAGCGTATCCATGACAACACACAGAGCTGACTGTAAACAGACAAGAGGCTGTGTGTTGCAAGCTGCGGTAAAAAACCCAACTGAGAATCATATTCCAAATGCACTGCATACATTCCCAAATAATGCTATTCAAACCCGATTAAAACCGGCATATCCCTTGTCTTAATCGGAAAATACTGAATTTGGAAAAAGGCCTAATTCAGAATTTCTAAATGGATTGTGCTGTTTATAAGGCCAACATGAAATTCAGAATATTGTCATTGGGAGTAATAGAGGAATATTAGTGTGCATGTAAATATACCCATTGAGGAATTGTTGGAATAGGTGTATAAAGTTCTGGAAGGCATGTGACTCATTGGCACAGCCCTTACCTTCCTCCATCTACAACCATTATCTCAGCAAATTGCCTCTGATTAATAGCTTATCATGGGTTGGATGTATCATGGCAGTACTCTAATAATATTGGGCTCCTTTGCTTGTGCAGGGTTTTTAGCATTCAGCCAAAACACATTTGGCACCTGTGCAGAAGTGTGTGAGGCAAGTTTGGCTTTTAGCCTGAACATGTTGACACAGAGCAGAGATACATGATGTTACTTCTGGTTTGGTGGGTCTGATCTATCCTATAAAGCAGACACTATTTTCTACCATCACTAGATTCACCAGTTAAAGAGCATTACTGGGCAAGAGGTACTACCACTAATAAAAGGTTGCTATTTGCAGATAGAAGAACAAGAATGGAAGCTTTTATATTTCCTATTGCTAGGGTTTTTCTAAGTTTCAAACTAAAGAACAGTTATAGAAAGTAGCTGGTCAGTAGCTAATGTTATGGTGTCACCTCCCCTGTTGTCTTCTCAGATAGTAAAGTGAATTGTATGGCTTATTTAGCAGCTCTAATGAGCAGCCGTTTTCATCTATTAAACCCAGCCTTCATGCTATTAAAAGTCTCATTAGTCTTTTGTGAATTTGTTACTCTTTCTCATTATTGAGAAATGATTATCTACAGACCACTAGCCTGTGAGGACCATCATTACCATCGTTTTAATCACTGGGTTGATTATTTCATGCGTAGACTTATTACATACAGTACAACTATATTAACAAGTTCCTTCATTTGCTACAGTATGCTTGGTTTCAGGTTGGAATATTTATTAAGAATTTCAGAAGAATACTTGACATTTTTTCTGGTGCACAGAGGCACCGTCAAGTGCTCATTTTCAGGTTCAAACTTCAAAAAGACATTGTTTCTAATACTGTCTACCTGAATATTCCTGTATTCACCTCATGTATGAAACTCTCTTTAATCCCCCCTCCCAAAAGAGTTTAGTCTGCTCTGATTGGTCAGTGTTTCCGGGTCTTCCACACCATCACTGTAGCCGGGGGATGACTGTAACAGAGAATTGCGACATTTTCTACCTTGGAAAATCAAACAATAAAAGCCTCTAAACCAAGATCTTCACAATCGAACATGTTACAGCAGGGATATGATCTGAAATCAGGCTGAAATTAACAACATTGCCAAACAAGATAACTTGTTTTCCTACACTACTTGTAATAGTGTAGGCCACCTTATGTTATACTTGCAATGACATGTCTGAAACAGATGACAATTAAAAGAAATCTGTCATGATCTGACGTCAGATTGTTTTGAAAGTAGAAAAAACAAGTATTCAGAACAGTCTGAAGCCTGAGGTTTTGTGCAGGGATTACTTTACATTTACCCTTATTATTTGAAACTTTGGCCATGTTTTATAAGAAAATCCAATGTACAATGTAACATTATATACAGTATATGACAGAAAATAAGAAAAAAAGCATAATAGGTCCCCTTTCAGACTTGTGGTGAGATGCGACATGCAGACTTTGCTTCGTTTTAGGGGGGCTGGGAATCACTGTCGTAAAGTGCCATACCTCCCACCACTGCAGATGGGTCTGTTGTGTCATGTTATGTTTACTTGACCCTTACAAAGACGTAAACTCCTGGATATCTTATTGTTTAATACTTCTTTATCATACTGTATTACATTTGCATTTTGTAATGAAACAGTTCATGTAGTTATCATTGCAGGATGTGGTACAGACATAAAACGCTGAATAATTTATGTCTGTGATGGTTTTGTGTTTGTCTTAATTCAAATATGCACCGCCAACATTTTTATGTAAAATAGTCCTGTCTTGTTTGCCTTAATCACACACTATAGCTGCAATGAACACTTAAAGAATATCCCAGAGTTGCTATATTTGATATCCTGAATTGCCCTTTTCACCCACATTAAATTCCTGAGTCAGTGATAGAGAATACATAAATTGTCCTAAAGAGCAGCAACAGTGTGCTGAAGTGCTAATTCATTTTCTTAGTTAGAGTCAGACAAGAAGTTCAATACCTCTGTTGTAACTGTCTTTTAAATATTAAGCTGTATCCACAGGACAGTTACCTTAGCTTAGCATAAAGACTGTGACCAGGGAAAAACAGCTAGCTCAGCTCTGTTCTAAGGCAACAAAATCTTGAAATTTTTGCCCTTTTTGCATTGATTGTTGACTCGGGTTAGCTGTTCTCCATTTAATCTAAGGTAAGGTAACTCTTCCCTGGCTCCAGTATCGTATTTACAGTACAGGCATGAGAGTGAAAACAATGTTGCCACCGTACTCTTGCCAAGAATGAAACTGAAACTGTTTCCATAGTTTAGAAAGCTGGTATCACTGTCAATACCATTTTGCCTCTCGTTTTTTGATATCTTTTGGCATAAAACATCACAAAATGGAAACATGATTAGTACTGTAAGGATGTACAAAATTATTGAATTTCCTGATAAAATGGTCTCGATTCTGTCATGTTTTACGTCATGCTGTTTTTTAGTATCTTGATAGATATCGTATTGTGGACTTTTTATCATGGTGTTTATCCTACCACGAGTTTTTGGTATAATTGGACATAAACAAAACATGGCTTTGTAGTCAAAATGTGTGTGCCTTGTAATTTGAACTGATCTGTGTCCTTGTTTTTCAGGATATTGATGAGGAGATCGAAGCAGAGTACAACATTCTCAAAGCTCTTTCTGACCATGCCAATGTTGTCAAATTCTACGGGATGTACTACAAGAAGGACGTGAAATGTGGAGACCAGTTGTGGCTAGTACTGGAGGTAGGTAATAATAAAACAAAAGCCCACATACGTTTGCTACAATCCATATATTTGACTGAGACCTTAAATAGCATTCATCTGTATACCCTGGCTTAACCGTGCAGACAAAGAGCGTATAAGTGCAGATTAAAGGTCCGGCTGTACATCACACAGCATGTCTCGCCAGGTATATGCAGCGGTGACCAAATCTGCTGGGATTATGTAACAGTTTAAGCCACCCTGGGCAGTCTAGGAGTTTACTTATAGGCCACCTGGGGGATTTGGTCTCAGGCCAACAACATGGGTGTGTTGGGGGTTGAGGTGAGCTCGCGTGACATGGGCACCCTGCTGAGAGCAGCAGAGCAGGGATTTCTGTTTGCAGGGGCTGTTGTAGTGTATTAGTTCATACACCTACCGTAGCAGGTTGGAGCACAGGCCCAAATGTCTCCTGTAGTGGATTTCTGTTGTTTGGATTTTGGGTAGAAAATTCTCAAATGGTTCAAAGGATTTAATGTATTTTTGAGGTTGTTGGTGCACTTGAATTTTTATATGCAAACTGCTTTAGCAAGTTACCATGCTAAACTGGCAACTGAATACAGAATAACCCAGTATTACACAAAGCATCACTGCATTTGACTCAAAGCCAAATGCAGTGATGCTTTGTATTACACAAAGCATCACTGCATTTGGCTTTGAGTCTGGTATGTTGCACCTGATGATGTAGCTATGAATTTGTGAAAGTTCAAGGGGACCTTGCTGCTGCTTTCTATACATCTGAAAAAGTCTTGCGTCCAGCTACACATTCTCCATCCTTCATATTTCATTGCCTGCTGTAGCCCTTTTCAAATGTCAGCCTCCAGACAAACATGTAATGGAGGTCAACCTCACAGGAGGAAAAGTGTTTGTGGGGTCCGACATGGTGGCAGATGTGGGTTTTCTTTGCCTTTTGATTTTCTGACCATGTCATTTGTGTTCCTGCTTTGATGGCAAATAGTACAAGCCTGGAGATGTCTGGTAAACATGATCAGCAAACATGAGGAGCACTGATAAAACAGGATGCTGTTAGAGTGTCTCAGCTGTGGTCCTAAAGGTCTTTGAATAAGAGTCTTTAAAGAATGTTACTTTGTGTTTTTAGTCATGCTGTTGTCGTGGATCTCAGGTTGGTTGGTCTACAACTTAGTCCTGACAAAAATATCTCAGCGTCCAACTGTTCCACAGCTATTGCCCTGAAATGTTGTGTAGATAATTGTGGTCCCTAGAGGATGAATCCCAATAACTTCGGCAATGTCCTGATTTATCCTTCAGCTCCACCTTGAGGTTGACATTTTTGGCTCAAAGGTAATTGTCTTGACAGCTATTATAGGAAGGTTTCTTACACATTCATTTATTTGTGGCAGCCTGACATGATCAAAACATCTGCCACTACACTAGTTTCTACTTTTGCGTTCACAGACCCGCAAAAACACACAATGATACAACAGGACACACGCATTTCCATGGAGAAAAAAAAGTTATTAGTATGTCACACATAACTAATTCTGTGGGAAACGTGTCATTTGTCTCATCATCATCGGGTCAAAATTTTAATTTCTCTGTAACTACATACTACATAATACTACTACATTCCCATCAGCCTCAGGTGGTCTTTGTGTTCAGCACCTGCCTAATGTTAACATGCTAACACGCTAAACTAAATTGGATACTTCCATTAGTACACTTGCACTGCGGAAACTATATACTTACCTGTGTAGTGCATGTTTTTCATAGGTTGGAGTTGGCTCAAATCAAACAGCGCCATTGCGCACTTACTGGAAATGACAGCCACAAGATTAGGCAGCTTTTCTTCTTCTGCTCGGGGAATTGCAATCAAACATGCATAAACACCAACTGTAACTTACACCCAGAGATCATAAAACTTGCGCCACAAAACATAAAATTAAATTCAATGCCTGATGATAAAATTTACTGCTCTTAGCTAGCTAGCAAGCTAACATTAGCATTTGTGATACTTAATTGTTAAAGATTTAACCCAATAAACAAACTGATGGCTTCTCACCAACAACATTATAGTGGTAGTGACATATGTATAACTTACATTTGTACAGTGATTTGGTGGTAATCGTGGTGGTCTTCTCCTCGGCAGCCATTTCACGTTTGAAATGTGTTTGTGGTCCCACCCCTTCCGCTAAGTAGGCAACATGGCGACAATTGAGGGTGAGAGGTTACCAACATTCCACACTCAACTTTTTGACCATTATGAGCACCATCTGGGTACTAACACTGCATGTTGCCATCTACTTCTCAGTGTGAACCCACTTACACAGCTTAAAATAGCAAATGCAAATACAGATATATCCAAAATGAGCCACAACATAAGAAAGCCACCATGGCAAACATTAGCTGCTAAACATAAACATGGTGGTATGCTGATGTTAGCATTTAGCTCAAAGCACAGCTGTGCCTGAATGTTTAATTTGAATTTGCACCATTGTTTTTGCAAAGTCATGGAGTTATTAAAACCCTTGAAAGTTTTGGAAAATTCATGAAATTTTGTTGTGTGTAATATGAAATCATTTGTTTCAGTAATCTTCTGTGGATAACCTTCCACGTAATGTAACATAACAGCAAATTTATTTTCTGTAGCTGTTGATTTAACGTAGCTCTTATATACACCGATGGGTGAAGTTTTGTTGTTGCTTTTAAATTTTACTGCACTTTTAGATAGAGCAATGTTCTTGTAAAAAAAATCAAGTTCCCCAGCCCAAGCACAGCCCACCTGCCCTATCAAAACAACATCTCTATATCCTAGAAACTGATTTGTCAGAATACCAAAAGCATGAAAAGAATGCATCAAACATGGTAAAAAAAAACCAAATCATATAAAGGATGCACGAAGAGAGGTTTTTATTTGTGAACATCTTAAAATTCTGGTATACCATTTAATTATACAGCCCTCAGTGGATTGTAAATGCATGCATTTGCTTTCAACAAAGGGACTTTTTCCAACCTCATCTTAAAAAGAAAACTCTATCAACAGTGTTCCACACTGTGCTGTTCTTTCTTTCATTATCAGGTCCAGCAGTGCTAGAACACAGTGTCCATATTTCTGTAATCCAAGCTCAGTGGGCTTTGCATCAACAGCAGCAGTGTTATGTTAACCCAGTAGATAGTTTTCACCTCTTCAGCTTGTGTTTCTTTCCCTTGTCATCGCTGTCCTTCCTCCTGACCTTTGCAGAGGACCCTGCAATTACTCAGATATCAAGTACAGTCTAAGATGCTGAATAATCATTATAAGAAAATCTAAATAAAAATGTAATAAGGTATTCATTATTTTGCTCTTTAGTGATTGTTAGTTTTGTATCATGTTGTTTTTATCTGTCAGGACTCATTCCTTCTGACTAAGAAATACAAATCTGGTATTAGGGGAGTTCACTCAGCTTTGCTACTTTGTTTACTCCCTGTTTCCTCTGTGGTTTGCATATCCATTTTCCAAATTTTCCATGCAAAATCTGCAGCCAGCAGTCCAAAGCTGGTGGCTAATCCTGAGGCTGAAATCACTGCCTGACAGTTTAGCTAGTGGCTGTGTGGAGCTGTGTGTGTGTGCATGTGTGTGTGCTCTGAAGTAGATGCACATGGGGTTTTAGCAGTGAAGAGACAGGAAAGCAGGGAGCGAGGGAGCTGGTCATTCACCATGGTTACTGTCCCTCCTTTCTAAACTGTAATTTTCCATCCTTTAGCTCTGCTGAGAGGAGCCTTTCTCTGCCCTGCCTGACAGCAGACCGCTCATTATGAACAGAATACATACAAATTGCATCCTTCACTTTGTTAGCCCCTCATTGGGGTCTGCGAGCTTTTGGCTTTGCCTCTGTAGTGTGTTCCTTTATGATAGCGGATGTGGGCAGAGATGAGCAAGCTTTCATGTATGATGGCCTAATTCTGCTCCCAGAGAGCTCAAACATACTTCAAAGATAGCCATGATAGAGCGACTTTTATTCTCTAATTGGAAATAAAAACCTAATTTGGATGTGCATTTTAATTTGTGAGCTCCCGTGTTTCACCCAAAGAACCTATTAAATGAAGGCCAATGATTAGTGCAACCTTTAAAAGCTCATCTTAAAAATGTATCTCATCTTCCATTATGCAAAAATAAAATACAGTAATGCTGAATTGAAAATGAATTACTCTCTGCCTTTGTTGCATTTAGAGTTGTAACTTAAAATGCTTGCTCACAGAATTTAATTTCTATTTCTTTTACTACTGCTTCATAGTTACTACCATTGAAAATAATGTAGAAGTGAAAGTTATTAGTAGGGCTCAAGACATCCTGTCATCCCAGGGACAACAGAAAACATGTATTGGACGAACAAAGATCTTCCCCAGGATGCCATCAGCACAGAAGGATGCAGTAAACTCACTATTGATGCACCAGGGGAAGTGGTGGAGGACATTGGCAGGAGGAGAGCTAGTTAATGTTAGTTGTTTGCAGCTGGTGGCCTGTACTAATGTAACTGAGTTACATTATGATGTGTTCAAGCTCTGTTTAGTCAAAATGGGTATTTGGTGAAGATAAATTATAATGTTCTCATGATGTGCTCATATGTAAGTTTGTAAAATGTAGGGTTTTTGGGAGATCCTTGAATAAATACATTCCAGTGAGGACCACTTATGTCAAAGAAAACTTTGTTTCCATTAGCAGTATTATATTTGGCAGTATGGCTCTGTTCTGGGGCCTCTCTGCCTTCTTAGGCTTACGCAGAAAGCCTAAGGCAGCTCTCTGCCCTTCCACGTGCCTATGTGGAAAGCCTAAGGCTGAGAGAGCACACCTCTCTGCTTTTCCATGCACGTATGTGGAAAGCCTGAGGGGGAGAGAGCAAACCCCTCTGCTCTTCCACGGGGCCTACGTGGAAAGCCTCAAGGCAGTGAGACCACACCTCTCTGCCCTTTCACATGCAAATGAGGAAAGCCTGAGGCAGAGAGAACAAACTTCCCTGCCCTTTCATGCGCCTACATGGAAGGGCATG